AGAGGCCTAGGGAGGGGTGTGGAGGCCAAGGACAGGCGCCCGGATGTGGTGCCCTGGGGTGGGGGCTCTCCTGGGACGCACGGGTCGAAGACGAGGCGGGCGATATACTCCTTGGGCATGCGTGGCAGCTGATGGGAGAAGACATTCTGCAGCCCCACGAGCCAGAGCAACACCCGCCGGTTGGCCTTGGGCGTCAGCGAGTTGCCGATGACGTGGAATTCGATGATGCCGCGGCGCTCCTCCAGGCGGGCTGTCTCGTCCCGGGCTGCATTGGCTGACAGGAGGCTCGTCTGGGCACCAGAAAAGGGGCAGTGAGCAAGGACCTCAGTGCCACAAGGGCCACTCCCCACCCCTGCTGGCCTGCAAGCCAGGCCGCCTACCTCGGGCCCCAGCATGGCAGCAGGGTCAGTGATGGTGAGCATGACCTCGTTGACCAGCTCCATGGGGATGTCGCCCATCACACGGAGCCGCTTGGCATCCTCCAGGGTCAGGTTCTCTGGGAGCTTCCTCTTCTCACCTGCTGGGGAGGTCGGCAAGGTCTTCCAGGGATAGGCAGAGAGGTTGGGGGAGGGCTGAGTGGGTGTCAGGGTCAAGTACCCACCTGGCATGGGCTCTGCACCTCCAGAATCCAGACTCAAGGAGCTATTGCTGCCCCCACCCATGGTGGGGCTGAAGATGGGGGCGCTGGGAACAACGGCTGCACTGACTGCAGCTGAGAGAGACAGGAGAATCGGGGGGGGGGGGTGTTCCCAAGGTGTTGGTGGGTCCTAAAAGGGGATCTGGACCCTCCAACCCCCAGTGGAGCCCTCCTGCATTTTCCCTCCTGCTATTCAAAGCCCCTCTTCCACAGCGGGGGGCGGGGTCACCTGAGCTCAGCCAGGAAGGCCAAGCAGAGATCTTGTAAAACCTGCTGTGGCACATACCTGGCCGGGGCACCAGCTGGGTCCCCTCTGAGGGTGGCATGGTGAAGCCTGACTCCCAGATCGGAGAGTTTGCCCCGTAGATCTCCTCCTCCAGCATGGACAGGAACCTGTGGGAGGTACAGTCTGTCCCACATTCTAACCAAGGGAGCAGCCTGGGCCAGACACCAGGGGGGGCTGGAGGTGGGTCAGAGAGACTGACCCTCTTCTCAGGAACTGGGAGCCTAGGAACAGAGACAACCTCTGCCTTCAGACCAGGAGGAGGTACAGTCCCCTGGCTCCTGGGAGACCCTCGCTGAAGATAGGAGGACAGGACAAATCCAGGACAGACCAGAGGCCCAGTTTGCCATCGTGTACAGAAGAGGGAGGCAGGGTCTGAACGGATGCCACTCTGTACTGTGTGACCAGGCCGGGCCCCAAATCACCCTGGGCCTCAGTATCAAAATGGGGGTCAGAACCCACCCCCTGCTGCCACCTTACTCCCACCTGGTGGCAGAAGGGACACTGGAGGTTCTGGATTAGTCAGTAAAGGCTTCCTGAACGGGAAAGCTATGAGCAGGTTTAAAATAGGCCCCGTGGGAAATAATTGGTATAAGACATATACCAACTGCAGACACCAGGGGTGCGGGCAGGGGTAGTGTTAGCACTCGGGCCATGTATCTGCCACCCCCTGACGAGTACAAAAGTGCTAGCAAGTTGCGTCTGGGCCGTGGGCAAGTCGGCCAGGTAGACGCCCAGATCCCAGAAGGCTGATGGAGGGAGAGGAGGGGCCAATCCAGGAAGCCTTCCTGGAAAAAAAGGGGACAACAGGGAGGATGTGAACTTGGGGCACAATCCTGATAGGCCAGAAGGAGCCTTACTTGGGGAAGTGGGTGAGGATGAGGGTCCTTTTCTCGGGCACCAGCTTGTCCTTCTCCACCCGAAACTTCTCTAGCAGCTGCCGCCGGGTGACGGTGAAGATGGAGCGAAGCAGGCTTCGCCCAAAGACGTGAGTGGTCTCGTAGCGGGGGAGGCTATCGCAGCTCTGGGGCACATGGCAGTAACAGAGCCATCTGCGGAAAGCGGGGAGGTGATGAGAGTGGAAACCGCTGAGGCTATGAGCGTCTCCCCGTGCTGTTCCCGGCTGGGCCTACCTGGTGTAATTGACCTTGTAGGTAGCCACGTCCTCAGCCTGAGACCTCTGCCGAAATTGGGCAGGTGTCTCAAGCTTCCAGTAGTTAAGGCAGAGCAAGAACATCTTCGAGAGCTCGAACATTGTCTGACGCTCCCGGGGAGCCAGATGACTGAACTTGTACTGCACAAAGTTTAGCACACCCTGAGAAGGGGTGGGTGGGGGGACAAAACCAGGAAGGAGGTGTGAGCAGCCAGCATGGGCTTCTTGTCCAAAACTAGGGGTTTGCTGAGGGCAGGGGCAAGGCTCTCCTCTCATTCCGAGGCTCTCTGTGAAGAGACACTATGCCCCCTCACGGCCCCTATGCACACACTGAGGTTAGCACAAGACATCCTCCCTTCCTGGAACCTCTCCCCTGTTCCCAGTCTCCTCACTCCTCCAAGATGCCCCCAATTCTCTTGCCCCCTTCTTCATCCCACCTGCTCAATATTAGGCTTCTCAAATGGGGGGCTGCCCAGAGACCCCTCCACCACGGGCCGGGTCATCTGCAGGATGCATTTCCGAAGGAGCTGGAGGTAGAGGAAGAGGGAGGGGCAGAGATCAAGAGCTGCAGACCCACCAGCCTCCACCCCTTGGCTCACTCACTTGCACGTGGAGAAAGCTCACCTTGAAGAGGTAGAAATAGACCTGCTTGGTGTCTGTGTCTTCCTCCTTGTGAACAGACATGAACAGATTCTCCACGTCCACCACCATCCCCAGCAGCCGGTTGATCTCCTCCTCTGACACATTCTCCAGGTGGGACACATGGTCCGCTGCAAGGACAGGTGGTAGAGTTGGGGGAAATGGACAGAAGAGATCATCACCCATCTTCATCACCAGCCAAGATACACCCCAGTCCCTCTCTGACCGGAATGACACTGACTATTCCTGTGTCAGCCCCTGGGTGGCCCCTTATATTTCTGTATTGGCAGATTTCCTTTCTCCTCCTTTGGGGCATACACCCTCCCCACCCAACCCCTCCTTAGAAGGCACCCTTGGTTTTTAAAAGATGAAGCTCTGTGGCACTTAAGCCACCCTGCCCAAGCAGGAGCCCGCACCCGCTTCTCCCCCACCCCAGCTCCAAGGGCACTGCCTGCCTTACCCAAGGGGTGCTCACAGCTGCGGCACAGCTCACTCAGGTTGGCAGCTGGCTGCTGCAGGTCCATGCGGGGTGCGGTGGGGGGCTTGGGGTTTTTCCAGCCATTACACTTGCAGGTCTCATTGGCCTGGAGGCAGAAGGATCCGTCAAAAAGCCTGTCTGTATCCCAGGGACGAGGAGCCTCTCCCCAGCCAGAGCTTCGCTTCCATTGCCACCCGAGCCCTAGGATGTCCCAAACCCCGCCCCCGCCCCAGGCCCCGCCCCCACCTTGCAAGCCGAGAAGACCCCTAGTTTCTCAAGCTTCTTGGCGCGCGGCAGTCCCCGGACTTGCGCCTTCCTCTGGCTGGCGCGCTGCTGCTGGCTCAGGCCAGGTCGAGCCGGATCCCCCCCGCTCCCGGTACCCCCACTTCCTACCCCGGGCCCCCCCGTCCCAGCGCTCCCGGCTGGGGCTGCAGCTGGAGCGGGGGCAGGTGCCGGAGTGGGAGCCGGAGTCGGCGCCGAGGCCGGGCTGGGAGTGGGAGTCGGGGTGGGGGCGGGGGCGGGGGACTGAAGGGGCCGGGGCTGCGCGGCCGGGGCCGGGGTCGAGGCCTGGGAAGGTTCCGCCATGGCCTCCCCCGCAGCGGAGCGGCGCGGCGCTCCCTGCCCTAGGGCCGCATGGGCAACGGGCGCGCAGTACGCAGGCGTCCCCGACCCAGAGCTTGATGGGAGTTGTAGTCTTCCACCGCTGCTCCCTTCGCCTCCGCCTTCCAGACTTTTCTATCCCGTCTCTTGGTCCCAGACAGCCAAGTGAGGCCCGAACCAGCACCCCAGAAGGATTCCTCCTCACTGTTCCTCTCTCTTGAAGGCTTCCAGGGCTGTCAAGATCGCTGTCCTCTTGGGGATCTGGTGGGGGGACTCGGGGGCTCTGCCCTCCTCTCAAGCCCCGCAGGTGAAGTGCAGGCCTGGGGACTGAGGTCGAGTTGGCTGCCCCGCACATCCCCCTCCCACCCCTACCCTCTCCCTGTCCCACATGTCTCCGGAGACAAACGTCAGCCACGGAGATTAAGCAGCAGCGGTTCTATTTCTTGACCTGTTGGGATCATGCAACTGTACCCTTTTGTGCACTTTTCTGTATGTCCGTTATACTTCCATAAAAAGGGTTTATTATAAAAGTGATGCATACCAGAGGCACGGCCACGGTGGGGACGAAGTAGAGGCCGAGGAGGGCGGGAGTTTCCCCCTGTGTTTGGGAACGGCTCTCCTTCAACATCCTGGGAACCTTGAGGGCCGCATCTTAATCGTTGTGGTCCCTGAGCCCAGCCCACACCTGCAGCACAGTAGACCCAGGATGGATGGAGGAAGCCAGAACGATGTGTCCACCTCCCAGTCTCCAGTGTGTCACAGGATTGTGCCTCGTCAGAGAAAGGCAGGACGTTCCGAAAATGGAAAATGGATTACCCTGTGTTCACACTCCAGTCTGGGAAGGGGGTGTCCCGATGGCTCGATGTCATCTCCACTCTGCGCTGATAATGGGCCCATTGGTAATGGCTCCGGCCTCCTTCATCATATCCAGTTGGACCCTGTGACGGAGGTGGGGAGGGGCCCAAGAAAGGACCCAGGATAAAAGCAGCAGAGGGCGTGCCAGGGCGAATGACAAGCTGACCGCGGAGGTGGGAAGTGCACAGCGGACCCTGAACTCTGACTCCGCAGAAGGGAAGGGCGTCCCGCTGAACGGAGCAGAGCTGCTGAGCGGGAGCGGAGCTGGGTGGGGCGCAGGAGGACCCTCCGCTCTTGGGTCCCGCCCCTGCGCGAGCGCCGAGCGCTAGACTCAGAGCCTCGTGCCCTCGGACAGCGGTTGCTCACTCGGATGCAGCGGGTCGGTAGCGGTCTCCCCAAGGGGAGCCAGGTGGCGTCCCAGTCTCCCAGCACAGCCCGCACTGGGCGGAAGAACCAGGTGGCCACGCTGCCGGTGCAGCAGCTCGGGGACGATGTGTCAGCTGTGCGGAGCAATATCCACGTGGAGAACGGTTTCAAGATGAAGATGGATGCCCAGGGCTTCAACCCGGAGGAGCTGGTGGTGCAAGTGGACGGCCAGTGCCTGACAGTGACGGGCCAGCGGCAAAAGGAGAGCTATGGCTCAGATGGGAGCGGCTACCGCATGGAGCAGAAGTTGCACCGCCAAGTGCTACTACCACCGAACCTGGATCCCGCCGGCATGACCTGCTGCTTAACACCCTCGGGCCAGCTGTGTATCCGAGGCCAGTGCGGGGCGCTGCCTTCCGCTGAAGCCCAAACAGGACACTCCTCGAAACTCAAGAGTCACCGCTCTAAGGGTTCCAACTTAGCCTGACCCCATAAACAACCGCCATAGTGAGCAGCAGCCTTAGTGCCCGTGGTCTCTTCTTGGGGTTGGGGTCAGAGGTGGTTTGATGAAGGTAGGGGAAGGCCAGAAAGGCACCTCAAAAAGTGGTGGTGCTGGGAGATGGGGGGTGCGGTGTGGTCCTACTCAGCAGGGCTCTGTTTGGACCGATAGCCCTTGGGGGCCGAGAGCAGCAGCGCCAGCAGGGAGCAGCAGGGAGCCAGGAGGGCCCAAGCGTCCCCTAGTTCCAGAACCAGCAGGGGGCCTACTAGAGACCAGGGACCGGATGGCTTGGACCTGGTGTAAGGCTATTGTCTCAGCCTTACAATCAGTCCAAAGTTCCAGGTCATTGGTGTTCCTCTTCAGGGAAGAGGGTAGAGGACCCAGCCCCTCAGTCCTGATACAGATTAACCCCAAACCCCAAAGAGCTTGTTTCTGGTGTTTCAGAGACCAACTATTTTTGTTTGTTTTCTTTTGTGTGTTTTTTGTGTGTGTATGTTGTTTTGATTTGAGACCAAATATTTTCAAATCTGGACTGCACAATCACCCCAATATATTCTAGAGGTGGTCAGGGAGAGGAAAATGCAACTTCAAACTTGATGAGATTCAGTTCCAGGTCACTCTTCACTCCCATGCTATTAGTACTGGTAACAGTAAGGGCCTCTTTTTCTTGGTTACCAAGACACCAGTCAGTACCCCCTCACTGGGAGTGAGGGGGCAGCTTTTGTTTAACAAGATTCAGTGGTCCATTTTAAATTAACTTCAAGTAAGCTAGAGAGGATGTAGTCTGATAAATTCTGCCAGAGAAAGACAAGACAAGCAGGAGGTCAATCCATTGGCTGACTATATTGACAAGATACTGATTGGTTACATGTTGAAGAAAACATACAATACAAAATACAGAAAAAGTTGGTTCCATTCCCGCCCACTCCCCCCTTACCCACCCACCCCCAAATACTCATCATCGTGATTTGGTCAGAACAGGGCTCAGAGCCAGAGGTCAGGGTGACCAAGGATGAGGGGGATGGGGTGGGCTGTGGGCAATGGGTTCATGGCTGTCACAATAATGCTGTGGTTTCTCTCCCAGCTGTGTGTCAGGGGTGAGGGGGGACTGCAGCCTGATGCTAGCCAGCCAGCTAAGGGAAGAGCTGTCTCTCCCTTCCCTAGCCCCTAGGGCCTGCCCCATGGCCCAGAACCAAGCACACGCCAAACAGTAAGGATATGGATGCTCTTGCTGAGCCCGATTAATCAGCAAGAGGAAAAAGGGTTACTGCTCCAACCCCTGCCTCCCCATGTATAAGGGCGGGGGACAGGAGCATGTGGTTACGAAGGGAGAGTGGGAGAACAGCAGAAAGGGCAGGTAGTGGGAAGAGATCATATATATTAAAAAAGTGACTTAAGACTTAAAATTGAATTAGTATTTTTACAGAAAGGTGCAGGTGGAATAACTCACTCCGGCCTATGAACAAAATTATATGGAGAAATCATGGTGGACCCCCTCCCCCTGCCCCCTCCCCCCATGGTGGCCCGAGTAGTTAAGTGCGATTGGTTAGAGTGGATTCCAGTCAGGTTGTTCAGGCGGAGGAGGTGGGGGCGGTGGGCAGGCAAGGGGGGCTCAGTTGCTGCAGCACTGGCTCCGGCTGGCTGGGTTGTTCTCCTGGAGGTCCACACCTCGGTTCCGGCCCGGAGCACCAGCTGCATTCTGGGGCTCATTCTTGGGGAGCTTCTTAGCTGTTTGGGAGAGAAGGAAAAACGTGTTTGTGGGGGTCCTCTAACACTGTCTCCCAAGTCCACTTGAGCAGAATCCGGCATATTGAGGGTTTCACTTCTGTGTGTCAGGTACATGCTGAGTGTTCCAGGAAACTGAGGCAAAGAGAGGTTAAGTGACTTGCTGAAGACCAGAGTTCTAAGTGGAAGAGCTAGAACTTGAACCAAGCAGGTTGACTTCAGAGCTAAACGGGCTAAAAAACCCTAAGTAGTGGGTAGGATAGTGATATTGGGTTTCAGGTGGGTGGTAAGCTTAACAGTAAGGAAGTGAAATGTTGAGACTTTAGTCCAAGTTTTAGAAACTTCTGGGATGAACTACCTATATCTGAGTTAGATGAAAAAGAAAAAGATTTTATCAGAATATTGAAAATAGCGGAAGATCTGTCGGTGAAGGGACTCCACAGACATACTACAGAACAGCAGCCCAGTGCTATAACTCAATGAGAGAAGGAGAGGAGAGGTACCTTACCTATTGCCATGAAAATTTCATTCACGTTCATTGCTGTCTTTGCTGATGTCTCCATGAACAGCAAACTGTTGTCATCTGCATAGGCTTGTGCTTCCTGATTTGGATGGAGGTGAGAAAGTGGGCGGGAGGAAAATGTTGAGGATGTTGAGTTGGCAGGGGCTGGGGCCCAGAATAAAATATCTTCCCTGGTTACAGAGCCTTGTACACAATAGAGACAATGCAGGGGTTTTCAGGCCTGTAGCCTTCCACTTTGGGTTCCTCTGAGACATGGGCACCATACACCGTTCCCCACTTCAGATACAGCACCTCTCAGCTCACAAAACATTGGCCGATGTTTTACCAGGTGTCCCTATGCCCATTCTACCTTCTCGCTCTTTAAAATCACTAGGCTAAGAAATACTTCTAGAAAGTTACCCTACAAATACAGTTGCACATTTGAACAAAAACAAAGAAGTATGGCCCAGCTGGCGTGGCTCAGTGGTTGAGCGTCCACCCGTGAATCAGGAGGTCACGGTTTGATTCCCAGTCAAGGCACATGCCTGGGTTGCGGGCTCAATACCCAGTGCAGGAGGCAGCCAATGATTCTCTCTCATCATTGATGTTTCTATCTCTCCCTTTCCCTTCCTCTCTGAAATCAATAAAAATACATTAAAAAAACCACAAAGCACAGAAGTATGTACATATTGACAGCATTGTTTCCAATCTTTTGCTATTACAAACAACCTTAAGTTTGGGACTGGTAAAAAAAATTAAATATACAGTATGCAAAACACATCCCCATCTATGTAAAAAGGGATTTACACACATTGTGCATATTTCTAGAAAGACCAGAAACTGAGGAACTTGGGGGAAGGGAGACTGAGTTTCTAGGTTAGAGACAAATTTAGTTCTATATACCTTCTTGTACTATTTAAATTTTACTATGTGCATGAATTACGTGAAAAAAGTATTTCTTTTACAGTAAATTTCATTTAAAAGTTTACAGAAAAATAAGCAGAAACTTTAGCTATCCATATGCACACATACCCTACTGCCAAGAAACAAGGAGAGACAATTCCTTTCAGCCCAGGCTCGAGTCACAGAGGACAGCAGATAAAAGCGCCCCTGCTGCCTCCCAATGTCACCCTTCCTGAAACCCGAGTAGCCTGGGGAAAGCCATGCAGCTGGCTTACTCCTCCCCCGTGTCCTGTCCATCCCCCACACCTGGAATTCCACGGCTCTCTTGTTGGCCAGGTCTGCCTTGTTACCCGCCAGGGCGATGACGATGTTGGGACTGGCCTGCCTCTGTAACTCCTTCACCCAGTTCTTGGCCCGTGCAAACGTATCCTGGGGAAACAGGGCCGGCATGTCAAAGGGACAGAGGAGGCACTCTGCCCCGGCCACGCACTAGAGAAGCTCCGATGGCAGAGCCAGGTGTCCACAAGGTCACCAGCCTGAAGGCTCTGGCGAGACACCCCAAACCACCGAGGAAATCTGCCCAGACCCCGTCCAGAAACAAGGATCGAGAAGGGAAAAATCTTTACTGTGTTGGTGATGTCATAGACCACGATGGCAGCCTGGGCCCCCCGATAGTACATGGGGGCAAGGCTGTGATACCGCTCCTGTCCAGCTGTGTCCCAGATCTCAAACTTGACTGTTGTGTCGTCCAAGCAGACAGTCTGTGTGAGGAAGGCCGCTGTAAGAGGGAAGGTGGTGTTACCAGGCAAGGAGGAGCTGGGAAGCCATCCCCACATATCTCCACTGTTGCATCCGGGGTTCTGGCGCTCAAAAGCCTTCTGCTGAGCTGGGCACAGAAAAGCAGCCTGCGAGGACAGGCGGAGTTTGTCTTTTCGTACATGTGCCGAGGGGGCTGCAGAATGTACAGGCTTTAGAGACCACACTGGGCAAGGGCAGAAGGAAAGCCTGCTTGCACCTCGCCATTTCAGGAGCGCTCTCTGAAGAGGAATACAGGGGGCAGGAGACGAGAAGCCCAGGGGAAACCTGACTCTAAGCTCAGCAGGGTGGGCCAGGCCCACCCGCCTCCTTCCTCCTCCTCCCTCCCCTCAGAGAGAACAGTCCAGCTGGAAACCTCCCGAGTCCCTGTTTGCTCCAGCCCAGGGGTGTCACTGGCCTTCTGTTTCCTGAGGACACTCACACACTTAGCTGTGCTGGGGACGCCTGAGAGTACACGCTGTTCCCCTGCCCGGAGGAGGCTGGGTGGCCAGCTTCCTAACCGCCCTGCCACCCAGGTGCACTGGGCAAGCCACAACCCCCAGCTCGGACCCTGACCCACTCTTGATTGACCACCGTGTGGCTTGACCTTCAGGTAACACCTGACCCTATCTCTGTCCTGAGGAGGCAGGGGAACATGCAGCACTTGTGTATATGCTTCAAGGGGAAGTCCCAGAGCTGGGACAGGCAGGTGGGAGTCCCCTTGGCCCCGGGACCCATCAGAGGATCCCAGAGGACTCTGTTTTTTTAAAGCCTGCTCTCCTGTCTGCCTCCCCGCCCCTCTCTGAAGACACGGGGCATCACCCCACTTCCCCTCTCCGGCTCCTGACTCGAGTGCTGAGGAGGCAGCAGAAGACTGCTGACACGGCCCATTCTGTTTCCAGCTGCCTGGAAACCTCCTACCAACCAAGAGGGTAGAGAAAAGATGACTCAAGCCCAGGGTCGGCCCTGGCCCCTCAAGGTTTGTACTGGCTACAAGGCAAGAGGCTGAGTTCAGACCTTTACAACCTAAATGCTGACCACTGGGAAATCAAAGAGGCTCTTC